AAAAAAAAATATATATATATATATATATATATATATATATATATATATATATATATATATATATATATTATACAAGAATTTCTCGTTTAAAGGTATTGGATAACAAAATTCTGCTGAACATACACTTCCCCCACAGATCATCACTCATAGAAGGGAAACTTGCGATAGCTGACGTGCTTGGCTGTCAACGTCAGATTTTTATTATTCTGAGTTGTCATTAGAAATATTTTTTTATAATATTCGCGCTTTACTACAATGCCATCTGATGGTAAATGGTAATGTAGCCTAAGATGGTGAAGCGTACTTAACAAAAGCTTATTCACTCTTGCCTTTGAGACACCTCTTTGAGACATTGTGATCGGATGGAAACAAAGATGCTGGCAACTTATTCCACACCTTTGCTGTACGCATGATGAACGATGTAGCAAACCATTTAGATCGAATTCATGGTAAGTCAATAATTATTCAATCATTCAAGGTAAGTCGAAATTTTATGCGTGGTAGAGCTACGCTGCAGCTATATTATGGTTGTAGCACGTGTGGGTCGGCTCGACCGGGGAAGTACCACGCTCTCACAGAATACCGGCGTAAAATAGCTATATATAAAATAGTTTAATACTGATGTGTTTGTATGGTCAGTGTAGAGATCCGGAGACCCTTTTTTGCTGGAAACGAAGCATTCCATCTTAGTCCTCAGGGTTGATAGCACATCTCCGTTTTGTTTCTTAATTGAGGATAAATGTATATGTCTATGGGTCACATCATACACTTACATCACATCATACATACATACATACACATCAGGTGGAATGTGTGCTTGTTTGTCCCCTTATTTTATAAAAAAAGAAAGGGTGGAGACTGGCCAAACGTCTGGTTGTCCGATACTGGAAGGTAGAGGGAGGAATTAAATTATGTAATTCCCGCGCACACTCCCCGAAATGCATCCTGTAGAGTGTTTGAGGCCGGTAAGATTCGTTTTAACTAAATTTGATTCACTAATAAAGTACAACGCTGCTAGGTAACATTTTGTAGCATCAGCTCATATAAATGGCAGCAAATATGGCACTGCTTCCTCCTGTTTCATTCGCCTTTGTCGCCTCACGGGATTTTATGGTTCAAAAAAATATTTTTTTTATTTAAAAAAATATGGGTTTTAACCTTTCAAACGCCAAGCGTCAAAATTTGACCGCTTCGATATTCCGTCAAAATTCCAGCCGCTTTAACCCATAAATGCTTTTGTTTAGAGACTACTTTTCTATGAAGAAGTTTAGCATTATAGAATCAATATGAAATTCTCCATCCTCAAGTGGAATAAAAAACATACTATGAATATTAATTTATATTCTACGTTCATTACGTACGCCATTTTCATTTGGATGTTGTTGTGTTGATTTTTGGATTTCCCTAGTGTTTTATAAGTGTTTTAGTATAGTGTTTTATTATAAAATTGTTATAAAAGTTTTTGTGTGGATATAATTTAATTTTTTACGTAAATAATTTCGAGTAATATATAGAAATAATTGTGATTTTCGCGCTGCCGACATCCGCTTGGTATGTTTTTTTCTTGTTTTTAAAAATACAATCTTTTTGTAATGAAGTAAAACCTGACTTTTATTTAGACCGCAAGATAGAGAATTTTATATATATTTTATAATATCAAACTTCTTTATAGAAAAGTAGTCTCTAAATATAAGTTTTAATGGTTTTAAGTGCTGTGCTGTGGGTGCGGTTGCATGCAACCGCACGGGATTTGCCAGGCGCATGGTAATTTTATGGGGATTGAAGGGTTGAAATCAATTCAAAAATTAATTATATTCAGAGTTTACTCTATTACAAGTACAAATTGGACGACAATTCAATTTTGGAACTGGTTTTTAAATATTTACTCATGTCTCAATATTACAGATACTTTAATTTTAATTTATATGTATGTATAGATTTAATTGTAAGTCCTATTGATCTAGATTTTTTTACCACATGATACATTCTTTACTATTTGCAGCAGAAACTATAAATCAGACGAGTAATAAATTAATAGGCATGTGTACTATTCTGCTTTCTCTCGTTATTTCTTCCATAGGAAATGCATCTACTGCACTGACCGAGTGTATAACAAGTGAATTAACAGCCGTTTCTTGACAATCAGAGCGTGTAATCAAGTAGACAATGCAGGATACCAAGTAAGGGGCACATGTGAAGTATGACTGAGCGCCTTAGTGCTAATATAGCAAATATCATCTCATATGTTGACCCTTAAAGGAAATAACTGAGCTAATTTGCCTCATTGCAAAGTTAAATATAATTAATTTATCTGTATGTAAGTAAAATTACAATACACATATATGACATTATCACAAAAACATACACATTTTTGTACTCTCTGATATGCATATCAATAAAAAGTGTGCATAGCATTCACATATCACAGTCGTGAAATTTAATTTTTGCAAATAAAAAAGGAGCACGTCACTTTAATGGGCTTAGATGGAAATTCGTGAAAGAAAATAATAAATGCCTAGTCCATAGCCGATATGGTCGAAAGCCAATAAAATAAACATATCCTATAAGTCACCTTTTACGACAGCCTGTATATAAACTTTTTTAATAATCTTTTGCTAGACAAGCAACACAATTGGCAAACTTTTTTGTTATGAGTCCCATATAAACATGGTACCTATAAACCCTACACCTTGGACAAAGACAGGGTTTTTGTAGGTATTAGCAAAAATTTAATTATAATCTTTCATTTATTCTTTCTTTTATAAATTTTTTATAGGATAAGAGTGACAAACGAGCATATAGTCCACCTGATGGTAAGTGGTTTCTATGGCCCATAGACACCTAAATCTATCCTCGATTACGAATGTAAATGCAGATGCGTTGTCACCCGTGAGGACTAAGATGGAATGCCTCGATTTCAGTAAAAAGGGTCTCCGTTTCTCTACACTCACCATACGAAACACAGCAGCATTAAGCTGCTGTTTTACGCAGGTATTCTATATATTATTATTATTGCGAAGAGTGGTCCTTCCCCGGTGGAGCCGACCCATTCGTGCTACAACTATACTACTTATATAGCTGCATTACAGGATACTTTCTCTTTTTAAAATTGGAGTTCATCTGTGTATTTTATAGAGTAATAAACGTGTAAGATTATATACCATCTGGATGCTTGAAGTTCCACCACTGTGCGATTTACTAAAAGTTTTCTTCTTCGCACAATTCCTAGTGGAATTGATTACCATCAGCGATTTTTCCGGACCGATACGACTTGCAAGTGAAGAGCCTACCGTTTTTAAAAAACCGGCAATGCATCTTCAAATCTCTTAGTGTAGCAGTTGTTCATGGGAGGCGGTAGCCACCGTCAGGTGACCCGCAAGCTCGTTTGCCCCTGCTAATATAAAAAAGTAAGGTAAACATGTAGTGAAATTAGCTCAGATCTATTTTGCTTCAGGACAAAGAAAATAACACTGCGTAATAAATGGCACACGAAAACGTGAAATGTAAGCTTTACATTTTTGTTTCACCGAAAAGAGTTTAGGACAAGGTAATAATACAAATAAAAGTATGCCGCGCTGTCCCAACGCGTGGGTTGCCAAACTTCACAAGTCATCGAAATTATTTTTCTTATTTCTCAGTCATGCAGGTTTCCTCACGATATTTTCCTTCACCGTTAAGCACGTTGTAAACGAGCACTTAAAATTGCAATTATCACTGAGTTACCACGGCTCGTAACTTACGTACAGTAATAAGCAATTTTTCTAAAATGAAGTAAATTCCAAATTTTAAATATTGTACACTGCCATTTATGGTCTTTAAGGTAAAGGTGATGATGTATTGCAACGTGTCTTGCCTTAACGAGGTTACTTCTAATGTTGTTATCGTAATTTAATTATGTAGGCGCATACTATTCTTGCCTAATTTAAGGCATTCTGCAGATAATATATATAGGGATAATATATATAGTAAGGTAGGGTGGGTAGGACGGTAACACAGCATTGTCAGCTATGTGAACTTGAAACCTGAACTAAAAAATATAAAAAAGTTGCTTTATATACTTACTACAAACAAAGCAGATGATCGTAGCAACCTTTATTCGTTTGAAGTCCTAAAAATCTTATGAAAATCACTAAAAGTTGTAATTTTGCATGCAATATGATAATTTTCGAAAAATCTTGATTATCAATGCATTCAACATCCTTTGTAGATGATTGTAATACAAAAAAATGTGTTTAATTCCTCGGTGTATAGAAAGCTACTTTATTTGCAGGTTGTGAGGTATTCCATTTTAGTTCAAAGAGGTGACAATACTATAGCATTCCTTGTTTAAAGTTGGTTGCAGGTCTCAAATAGCTACTTACCATCAACCAGGTGGACTTTAAGTTCGTTAGTCACTTCTTTTTATCAAAAAAGAAAATAAAGCGAATATTTTGTGAAATTGCTATAATTATCACTCCATTTCTGCCTTGATATGACTCATACTGGTAGCTTTTACTCGTAGATGCAATGAAATGTTGATAGTATTTCCATATCCGATAACAATTCCACGGGACGAGTTGGATGTCTACATATATGTACTCCAATACATGTATAAAAACAAACGTAAATGTAGACTATATTTATATATTAAGATAATTAAATTTTTTAATGCATTTTCTTCTCGATAATTATAAATAAAATCCAAGTTATTGAAGATAACGGTTTACTTTAATATTAGATACCATATTAGAATCAAAAAGAGCGGAAAATTAAAAGATTTTGACTAGAAATTATGTTGAACAAAGGAGCACAAACAGATTACTACTGAATTTATATGAACTAAAACAATATACAACATATCAAAAAGTAGAAAGAAATTGTGTGTTATTTTATAATGCCTAAGAAATATTTCAATATTTTATGAATGATAATTATAACGAGAGTTTGTTTACAACCCAATTATACAATTTTAATTCTATCAATTAAGTTAATTCAATAAATACAAAGGCGCAGTCAGTTCTTCATCCAGTGTTGATGGGTGTCCAAGCAAAATTTCTGGCATTGCGAACCTTAGTCTCTTCTATTTGGTCTTCCATAGTTTTCTTAGTGATAAAAAGTCTTTCCAATCTGTCTCGAAGCTCATCAGGTGTTATTGGTGAACCTGTAGTTGGTTCTGATGATTTTTCTTTGTAGTAATGGTCATCGAAATGATGTCTACGATAGTAACCTGGGGATGTAAAGTTATTTGTTTCTTATAACGCTTTTTTATTTAATTTTAACCGAATTAAAAAAGAGGTTTTTTTTCAATAAGAGCGTATGTTATTGTTGTATGTAACGATCGATGCATGTTTCTCAATATCTTCGTTACTTGTAAACTGATTGTAATGGTTCTTTTTAATTAAACGGGTTCACTTCAGGGATTTCCATAGAATTTTGTATTAAATAAATATTTGAAGAAATACTACCAACCCTAAGAGCGGAAAAATAGAAGATAGAGCTTTTATGTTACTATTTTAACGACATTCGTGCTTGTAATATATACTTTAGTCCACTCAAAAGTATCAAAATTTGTTAGTCTTTTAATAAAAAGTAAAAACCTATTTACCACTGTCAGCTATATCATAAATTACTATTGGATAGGTGGTTAAAAGTGACAAAAAATTTATTTTACTTTTAATCCCTAAAAGGAGGTTTTTTTACATTTTATTAATAGTCAAATTTTAAGGAGTTTTTTTGCCACTTTTGACCACTGTCTCCGGACGATAACCGAAGATGTTAACCTGTTGCTTCAAGAGATGCGCACTTTAGATCGTACAATACTCATTTTGGCGGTTGGGTCATAAATGTGTTATTTTTCAAATTCTCATTTATTTTTAGTGTAAAATGTAAGTAAAAATAGTTTTCTTACATATTTTAAATAACTTGAGGTTGTATTTATTTCAAATTCACACAAAACTATTTTTGAAATATTGTTCGAAATGTCATACAGATAAAATAATATTATTTTTTTTAATTTGTTTATATTTTAATGTTTTGGTATGAGTAACGAATAGAAACACATAAAACATAAAAATATAGATATTTCCAAACATTTTCATATAAATTTCTCTAAAAACAAAAGTGTAGAATTCAAATTAGTAGTAATTTTGTCACTAAAATTGAAGTATATACTACTACTATGCTATACAGGGTAATTTATGTATTTTATTACAATTTCTAGCAACCAAAAATAATTTTATTTGATAGTTTATACATTCAACAAGAAATCCTGTAAGTTTTATCCATAAATATTATCTCAAAGTGAAAATATAGCAAAATTTGCAATATAGCAAAAAATTTTCTAACTTACAAATTTTCCCGCCATTAAGGTCCCGAGCGAACGGGAGTATAACATGTCGCGCGCTGTCAGAGCGTACATAAGCGCATTGACTTAACAAACGCCTATTTTCTCTTGAAATTCAATGGAAAGAAAGATTTTCGTTTTATAGGAGAGGGGGCAAACGAGCATACGGCTCATCTGATGGTAAGTGATTACCGCCGCCCATGAGCAACTGCAACACCAGGGGAATTGCAGATGCGTTGCCGGCCTTTTGAAAAGGCGTTGGCTTTTTCTTGAAGGTTCCTAAGTCGTAACGTTCCGGAAAAATCTCTGGTGGTTGTCGATTCCACAAGGAAATTGTGCGAGGAAGAAAACATCTTTTAAATCACATAGTGGTGGACCGCCAGTCATCCAGATGGTTTGGATGGTATCGCGATATGCGAAATTATGCGGCTGGAACTAGTCCGAATAATTCCACAGAGCATTCCCCGTGGTAGATGCTGGCAAATTAATCTCTACTACTTGTATATTTCATTTTTATTTATTTATTGTGGTGAATGTTTTCTTTTAAATTACTTACATTGTTTCTTATATTACCGTTAAAGTTGCTTTCCGTATGGTATAAAAGAGGGTTTGGTTACTGTGCATCGGCATGATGTCAGTGGACCTGTGACTGTAAAATAAGCGAGTCTTCTATTCCCAAATTTCATTTATATTAATTTACAAATAATTTAAGTAATATGATATTTTAATCTAGTCCATATAATATATTCTTATGTATACAGTTAGCTGTCAAACAGCAAATTACTCATGTTTTTGTTAAATTAATTATTCGCACTTTTTTCATTTCATTTATTTTGAAATATCCCTCCTTCTACAATCATATTTGGATTTGCTTTCATACGTTTGAGATTAAAAAAATTATAGTACCTACGGTCAACATATATATCGACTTGAGAAAGAGTGAAACCACAGAATAAATAATAGCACTTGAAAATAAAATAGAAAAATAATTATATATACTGAATGACCTTCTCTACCGTCTGGAAAAAAAACACGGTGTAACATGTAAACGGTGTGAATGTGGTCAAAGCCTATGGCACTGATATTTTACAAAAAATAAAAATATTTGAATTATATAAACATTAATTAAAATCTAACGAAATTCAAATCATATACACCCTACTTTGCGAACGGCAATAAAATAATAAATTTAGTAGGCATCTTTGACCTTGTCACTTCGCAGGGTGGGTTCGGCAGGCTAGGGTGGATATGATTTAAATTTCGATAGATTTCAATTAATTAATTTATTTAATACAAAATGTTTGTTTTCATTTTTTGTTAAATATCACTGCCATGGGCTTCTACTCCGTTCACATGTAACACCTTATTTTTTCCAAACGGTAAAAAGGTCAACCAGTATAGTTGTAGCACGATTGGGTCCGCTCGACCGGGTTAGAACCACGCTCTCATAGGATACCAGCGCAAAATAGCAGCTCGATGCTGTTGTGTTTCCTATGGTGAGTGTAGAGAACCGGAGACCCTTTTTACTGGAAACGACGCATCCATCTTAGTCCTCACGGGTGACAACGCACCATCATTAATTAAAATTCATATTCGATTCTTATTCGAGGATAAATGTAGATGACTATGGGCCACAGTATCCATCACGTGGACTGTGTGCTCGTTTGCCATCCTATTATATAAAAAAATTTATAAGTCGTATTACTAGAAATAACTACTTTAATCAACCGTGACGTTACGGTTTAAGATCGGTACGGTTATCTTTTCCTAATAATAACTAAAAAATAAAAACTGCCTCTTTACCGTGGCAGATGGCAGATACTATTATGAGGTAATCTATGGAAAAGCCTATGTTTAGTATTAGACTTTGATAGTCCGTAATAAGAAAATGCAAAATTAAAAAAAATCTGAACAATTTTTTTACAGTATATTCTCTAAGACTCACATAAATCTCATTTCTATTTTACTATTAGTGTAGTAACTCAAATTCAAATTAAAAACAATTTATTTTTAATAAAGTTATTAAAACGCTAGTTATGAAAAGTTAAAGGTAAAAGTATCAAAATTACCTCCAGGGCTATGATGGGTATCATGCGAATGGTAATGGCCAAGACCAAGATTTTCGTGTGAAGTATATGAAGAGAGTGATGGAATTCCAAAACCACCGAAATATTGTCCACCATATCCAGTACTTCCACTGAACACAGTTATAGCTAGTAAGGCTATTTTTGCTAAAAGAAATGCCTTTTTACTAGCAAGGAGAACTAAACCCAATAATAAGGGCAATAGAGTCGATATATGAAATTTGAGGCCGAGGAGAAACGGCACCAGTAGATTTCTTGCAAGTAAACGACCTGAAACCATAAAGAAAAATAAAGTAAATATTATCGAAATACGAATATACCTATACAACGCGAAACAGATACGGACAGATTAGGCGAAAATTAATTAATTAAGTAATTATGGACACTCACGTATAGACCCTACGGCTTAATGTAGCAGGAATGATTTAGTCCTCTCACAGTAATAATAATATGAGAAGAATTTGCTATAAATAATCAATTCAATTTTTTTATATGTTTTTAGACTGTTACCTTATTTAAAATCTTCCTGATTGGTTGTTATCTTAATTTATTTATTAATAAAGGTATGTACACCAATAATATGTCCACAATAGATGTTAAATTTTGGACAATATAAATAATAATAAAACCAAAGAGCATTTGAACAAATTAATAACAGCGAGGCGTACATACACCACACAGTAATAAAATTAATGTACTGTAATAAAATAATGAAAACAATAAGTGCCGAGTGGTAGCGGCGTAAGACCCATTACGTCGCCCTATTTCGTCCCTTGGGTAACAAGCATAGGATATTATAATACATATATATGATTATATTATATTATAGTATATTATATATTATAGTAATCTATGGTTACAAGTTTTGAGTATTCAACCAAATTTGTTTAATACTCAAAGGTTACAAGTATGGAGTGGAGAAATAATAGTTACATGAGTAGACAATGGGAAACGTCAAAAAATCATATGTGTTGCGATAGATGGCGCTATGATTATTTTGTTTACTCCTGACTAAATACCCAGACTGGCGACGGGCAGGAGGGTGAAATGTAGGGCTGCCACCTTTTTTTTTTTGAGAAAATACATTATTTTTCCCAAAAAAGATACAAAAATATAGTACTAACCTACCTTACCTTACCTTACCTTACCTTACCTAGTTATATGGTATAGCTCTTTGCATTGGCCATCAATTATCTAACCACCTTACCTTCCAGATCAAACAAAGCTCAAACTCCTATAATTATTTTCAAGTTACCTTTAAAATAATTATAGGAGTTTGAGCATTTTAGATTCATATTAAAATAAATTAACAATTAATTTTTAATTAAAATATTACTTGCCCTTTTTCTTTCTCATTTCAATTTTACAATCATGATAGAAAAAAATATTTACGTAAGACTTTTTATTCTAGACTTCAGATCACAGCTAATATAAAAAGCTCGAAAGTTTAATTAGGGATAAAAATATAGTATTTTCGTACTATGTTGTTTTTATACATAATATATAGTACCATTGACTGAAATATAGTATGATAATTTATATTGTAGTATGGGTGGCAACCCTAGTCAAATGTGTTTTATGACACCGGTATTGCGACCATAGACTTAGGTACGTAATGATTGCGACCGTAAATCCGCCTTTCAAACGTGACTATTGTATCAAATCCTACCTTCAATGGGAGAGACCTATGTTAAAAGGTAAAATTTTATGGGCTAATGATGAACAAGAAATATTTAAATAACAAATTCAAAAAACAAGCACGTAAAAATTAGAATCATATAAAATTCTTAGTGATACAGACATGTTAAAACAATTTATCGTGCTTTGTACGAGATGGCGCTCTAAAGTCATGGTCAATGTTAATAAGGCGTTAACTTCAATCTGTACGTGTAATGTTACTTAGTGTACAGAGATGGCGCTTAAGTTAATTTATAATTATTACTGAGTTACAATTATTACGGTATTTTTAAATGACTTTATTCGGTAACTTTTATTTAAATTTTACTTGCTAAAATTCAGTAATTAAATAATTTTTCCCTTTTAAAAATTATATATTTAACTTAATAAAAACACTTTATTAATAGAATAAGGGTGACAAATAGGTTGACTGTCCCCGGATAGTAAGTGGATATTGAGTTGAGAGTTGCGATTGACCCATAGGCATCTGTCTACCCTCAATTAAGAATCTATTTAGAGATGCGTGGTCACCCCTGAGAACTAAGATATAATGCCTCGTTTCTAGAAAAAAAAACCCCTACAGTTCTTAACATTCCCCATACGAAACACAGCACCATTATTTCGCTGTTTAACGCTGCTTGAGAGCTAGGTCCTACCCCGGTCGAGTGTGTCTCTATCAGGTAAAGCAAACCAAAATATATAATAATAAAGTAATAATAAACAATAAATATATACTTATGAATTATATAATATATAAGATATATTTTTTGATGGTTTACAAGATGATGCGGTGATTAGGATTAAGAAAGGAATGCTTCGGTGGTTTGGTCATGTAGAAAGAATGAATGCGGAAAGACTGACAAAGCAAATACATGTTGCAGAAATGAATGGAAGAGTCGGAAAGGGACGTCCTAGGCGGAAGTTTGTCGACCAAATTGGCGATGTACTAAAAATAGACCAAATTAAGAGTACCCTTAACCGACGAGCATGTATGCGTAGGTATATGGATGTGCTAAATGGAAGTCTATAGTCTCTGCCTATACCTCTGGGTGACAGGCGTGAGTGTTTATGTATGTAATTTTTGATGGTTTAAAACAAACTAAAAATAATTACCTGTCGTTATTTCACCATGGTTCTGATAGGTTCTGTCTTTTATCCTTGGGTCCAGCACGAACTCAAGTACACCGTTTGCTAAAGTGGGACCAATTCTCATTACCAATCCAGGGTAAAGTGTACTCATATCCCAATGTAATGAACGCTTAGAGATAAGGTCGCTTGCGTCTTCCATTATGGATCTGAAAAATATGGCAAAAAAATAAGAGACGTTATAACTACTAATGTTAAGGACTAGCTGACCGCGGTGTAATAAAAGGGGATCAGTATATTATGCAATAAATTTAATAGTAAGAGGACATCGAAAAATTTAATTGACAACCTTTTAAAGTCTACTTTTGTACAAATAGGCAGGTATATCTGAGAGTACTTTATCTGTAAATTTTACTTATCCGTAAAATATTTTCAATTATTCAATACCTTGGATAGGTCAGGGTGTTACTGAGAGTTGAGCTTTTTTGAGTCCTATATATAATATACAAGTCTACTGCTAAACAAACTCTTTACTGCATTTCTAATAGTCTGTGAGGAATAACAGAACACCAAAACCACAACGGATTTCATTAATTTGCGGTACATGAATGTACAGTAAGGTCAATAAAAACATTTTTTTAAAACCTTCATATTTTTGGCATCACTTGGAATATTTTTTATGTATTTTTATTTGAGCGTCTGATACGTGTACTATTAGGCGCTCCAGGATTAGCCATTCTTTCTGAGACATCCCTGTATATTTGTTTTGAGTCTATATGGTATACATAGTAGGCAAACTAACAAATCAAAAAAGTAATAAGAAATTAAGAAAAGATGGAAATAATTAACTCAAACCCGTTTTGGAGCTTCTGGCCAATCCTTTTACTAATTCATAACTTTCTAAAAAAAGGTTTGAGAATGAGATGCCAGTAGTCAGCATTGGCGCGTATGCTATACGTAATAGTTTGTTAATGTACTAATTAAGTTGTAATGGACACGCTAGTGAAAATAATTTAATTACTCCAGTAAAATGTATTAAGGTTAATGTTTTTGTATTTTGTATATAAAACTACCTCTTATATAAATCTTATATGCAAAAATCAATTGCAGTCCGTTTGTCTCGCTCAAACTCGAAAACGGCTCGAACGATTTTTACGAATTTTTTGTCGTGTATTTGAGGTTAGAACTCAGTTGTACCCGGTAGGTGGCGCTGTCGTCGAGATCCAGAAATTATGCTTGCGAAGCCGGAATCGATCACTAGTATAACAACATAATCAAAAGTACGTTGTAGAGTTTTTAAAAGTCAACTTCCACTGCTCAGAAATACGAGCATCGACGATAGATGTAGATAGCCGTGGGCCGATGCAATCGCTTACCGTCAAATAGACTATGTGCTCGTTTGACACACTTATCCCATATAAATAAAAATCTCTCTTGGGTTACTAATAATATCAGAACAGTATCAGTACAAAACGGTCACAGTACCTACACTGCGCGGGAATCAAAAAGTTAAAACTAAACGCGATTTAGTTCTTAAAAATAACTTCATTTAATACACTACGCGTGAGATATTTCCTATGAAATCGTATATAATAACAGATTTTATGCATTCAGCCGTGGTAGTTCAGATGTAAGCGCTCGCTGTAAATTTCACAGTACGCCAGAAATCCGGGTTCGATCCCAGCCAGCACCAATGATGTTGTTAATTGCAATTTTAAGTGTTGATTTACCACATGCTTGGCGGTGAAGGAAAACATCGTGAGGATACCTGCATGTCTGAGAAATAAGAATATGAAAAAAAAAAATACTTCGAAGACATGTGAAGTTTGCCAACATGCAATGGGGCTGTGCGGCGGTCATTTCCTTGTCCTAAACTTTCACAGAAATGGGAGCAGGCCCGTGCCCAGCAGTGAGACGTATATAGGCTGTTGTAACCATAGAATACTATAATACACAATAGAACGGCTGCCAACCTTATTTTGTACGAGGTTCGGCGTCGTCGGGAGCACACATAAGTATATGCAATCACGTCTTATCATCACTACTACAAACCCTATTCGCTGTGTTGACAGTCTGAGTAAATTTAACACATTTTAGACTTTTGATTAATGTTCAAGATCATCATTCAATAAAATTACTTTAAATTTTAATACATATTTATTTATAAATAGTGTGCAATTTGGCATTTTCTAAATAATTTGCATGCGAAATTTGGAAACGATTGTAACGTCAAAACATATCTCGTCTTGACATTTATACGTGTGAATTGACATATTAGTGACATTTTAGTGGCTACACGGGCTCAGCCCACACCCCCGTTCTATTACGTATGTATTATAGTATTCTATGGTTGTAACTTTACTTTTAACTTTAATGCATTTTTGGCATTACTTAGGAAATGCCTATAATCAGCAGTGCTACAATGATAACGATGATGATTATGATGATGTCATTACTATATTATAATATTGCAGACTATGTCCTATCCTTTACGATAGGTAGCGTCATGAGCTTCACTCCGAATTCGCTTCGGACTTTTTACAGTGAAATATAAAATTTATTAGTGCCACCAAACAAGTCCAATGCTGTGATTTTATTTGGGACTTAACCAACTTATATTGTGAATATGCCCGTAGATATAGGATTCGTTATTAACTTGGCTATAGCACCACCTATTAGATCCTGGATTAGCTCGAGTCTGAGCAAAGTCATAGTACGGTCTATAGATCTCAGCCTAAACTCACCCTAACGTTAACAGGTTGCCACTTTTTCCAGAGTATAGTAGTATTCATTCATAATGTAGGCGGTAACTTTCCACAAACAGTTGCTATTGCAAACTGTAAGCCCACACCAAACGATCCAGAAAGGTTTTCATATAATTATCGCATGCGATGGTTAGCAAACGTCTATACCAGAAATAAATACCCACTTCGAATAAAATCGATAGGTGGTAAAATAAATACAGTGTATCGATGGGGCGATTTCAACGCGGTGGGAAATTTAAATATATTTATATAATCAAAGTTTTATAAATATATAAAACTAATATATTGTGTGAATATGACCTCAATCGGTCAACTCGTTCAAAAGTTACACAATCACTAACAGACGTGCCAACGATTAAATAGATAAGACATTTAATAATATAGTAAATATACAAGGTATGTTTTTGTTGTGCACAAAAGTGTGGCGGAGTTACTTATTTGAATAAAATTTAATATAAAATCCGTTGGAGACAGACATGAAAATCAATCAGATCAGATCAGAGCACGTCGATTAACTGTGCTCAGTAAAATCGGACAAATTGTAGTTTCAGATGTGAAAGCATTAAAAAGGCGTTCCGCTCTAATTGTTAATTAATATGACAAAATTAATGATATGAAGGAGATTAATAAAATTACGTATCATTAAAATATTAAACCCTTGCCTGTGTAAGTTCCAAGAGCAAAGAGAAGCTGGCCGTACTGTCCTAATATACGTTAGCCAATCGTTTATTTTTTGAATTTCTCAGATATTTCTTTTGCAATAAGTATTGAATCAGCATTGAAAATTGAAATTTTTCAGTGGTGTCAGCGATGATCAAACTCAGTTTACTCGCCTACTATAAAATTTTAAGGTGAATGCTATTGTAATTGACGGATAAATAAAATTAATTTGTCATATAGAAAACACAGATACCTAAAATCCATAGGGTCCTTGTCTAGGAAATTTCCAAGATTCCTTGGCGTTTTCTCATCTCTGATAAAAGTAACGCCGGTGGCCAAACTAAAGGAATCCGCTTCATCGTATTGATTCAGATTAGCCAATAGCTCTTTACTAAAACACACTCCTACTTCAGCACCTCGCTTTACACTTAAGCACTCATTCAACTGAGAAACTTGAACATTATTTTCATTTATCTCTTCTCCTTCTTGTAGGTCGATTTGTATTGGTATCACTTCCAAAATTGATAAAAGAATTAAGAAAAAAGATTTATTAGATAGAGACATGGTAAGGAAAATTTAAAATGGACTTCAAAAGTAACGCTATCTACATTTCTTCGAATTCGCCCTCTTTTGATGTCTTCACTGTTGTTTACTTCTCTTTAAGAGTTCCTTCTTTGTGAACTTTAACATTACGTATAACATTATTACAACAAATGCCCCGTTTTATAGACTTTCCTTGTTATGTATGGTTGAATCCAGCTATTGTTTTCCAAAGCCCGTCACGGGCACTTCCCACGTTTGAGTAGACAATAAGGAGAAAATTGGAAGTGGATAATTTGCGAGGCTATCTGTGAGAGCAATCTGCAATTTACATGTCAAAAATGTTACAGCACATTATATAATGCTTGTATACATTCTGTAGAAATAATTTATTAGATTTATTTGTGTAAATTACAAATATTTTTGTCATATTAAGGAGTGTAAATTAAACATAGTTTCATATTCCCAATAATTAATCTTCTTTTTATCATCCCATAAATATCTGAGTATTGGTCCAGCCTTCTTATAGTAGGCAGAATGATGTCATCATAATCAACTGGTGGGTACCAGACACATCGTTGTAACACTTATGTATATGTGTAGCACGGCTAAATATACCCTTCTCAATAATGAGATAAGTATGTTCCCACAAAAAGTTGACAAAGTATGAGAAATGTAAGGTCAGACAGAACTTTATTAAATTTTATAGGCACATAATTTAGATGCCTAAAATTAGGTCTACAATAAATCACGCCACAGGTCGATGCGCATTTATTTTCGAATTAATAAAAATAATAATTATCTTTAAAATAAAATAATTTATTTGCATATTTGAATTGTTAAATGAATCCAATTCAGTTTCTAAATTTATCAAAAGCGATCTAATGCGCCGAAAATTTGTTAAATATTATTTTCTAACATTGATTTAATTTATATAAATATTTAATGTTATTTAAAGAGGACGAAACTAAAATGGCACATGTTGGATGCTAAAGGTACGTACTACAGGGCCTCTGACCTTTTCATTGTCTTACACAGGTTCCTGAGTACACGGAATCAAATATCTAAACATCTTCAAGCAGTTAAACAAAATTGAATGGTATGCCTCAAGAATAAGATTTAAGTTAAAACGTATATTTATTGGTAGATATCACATTTAGGAAGGAAATAGTTCCAAGAAGTGAAAGTACAAACATTTTTTTTCTTATACGTCCGGTTTGGTTCAGTAAAAGTTTTATTTGCCTGACGTAACATTTTCCCGTCTTTACAGCTGTGCTCGACGTTTTAACGCATGTTTGTTAGGGATCATTTACATAATATATCTACAAAGTGTGATAATTAATCGTTTTGTTGTTTATAATGCGTATAGCATGGTTACTGTAACGATTTGCTTAAATAAATCAGACTTTCGATTAGGCTTTTCTGAAACTAGACCGGAAGTTGTAGTAGTATCAACACATAAACTTTATAAAGATATTTAAGAAAATTCTATTTGAGTTCCATTTCTAAAATATTTAGAATTATAAATATTATATGTAAAAAGTGTGAATAGAATTGTGATCATTCTATTAATAATAATTTTTAAATCACTATTAGCAGAATCTTCTTCTTTTTCAAAGCCTTTCTTAATATTCAGTGATTAATCTTCATATACCTCTCCTAAGTGATATACTCAGGAAAGGTATATGAAGACGGGGTCCATACTTTCCCACACGTAGGTAGTTTGTTTTTGAGCTTATTGCCAAAGTCAATATTTGATTTGAGCATTTTGAAATTGTTAGTATGCGCAAGAAAACTTTAGTTTAATAAGTAAGGCGCATATCACGCATGTAAGGTTTTCATTTTTTTTTATAAATGTGTCAATACAAGAACTCTCTCTGAGTGGAAGCGGTTTCCATAAAAAAACGCACAAAGATAAACATCCAGACCCGGAAAATTATTTGTAGGACAAAAATAATGGTTCCGTGCAAGATTCTAACCCGCAAATGGAAAGAAATAATGGAACTTAGCCAAGCCGCAGACTGACAACTCCGCAGTCATTATTGACAGAAGTTGTTATTTCTCACGTATATACGAGTACCGTTTTAGATAGAGTTACATCTAGGAACAACAGACAGGAATCAGGAAATCGATGCATGTATGTAGCTCAAAATCATGCTAGTAGGCTTTTTTGATAGTATGTTTAGTTATAAACTTACAGTTATTTACATTAAAAGTAATCCTTTGTCATCGTAAAAAAATATTTGTTACTAAGAACTGGCTATTTATATCTTGTCTTGGCTGTCTGATGATTGTTCTGAGCAGCAGTAGAGAGAAAATTAAAAAAAAAAACATCATTTACTACTACACCATAACAATTTCTTGAATAATAATCGGTTTTGGTGAAAAGGTATATTTCGGAAATCAATATTAATTTGTATACACCTTTCCATTCCATGACCTTAAGCGGATTCCGTACATTAGTCATCAACGTAAGCTTTCGCTACAGTCGCCAGAGGCGCATGAGCTTTCTGTGCTTCACGTGTTTTATGTAATCTCCCCCACTTCCCCCATTCTTAAATACTCGAAACTGGCTTTTACCGTATTGATGTTGTCTGTTGGTATGATAGCACTTTATTTCAGTGCAATACAGATCAAAATAGATAAGCATTATGTTTAAAACCTGTATACTTATTTTAGAACAGGTCTTCTTTACTCAGAACGCTAAAGAGTTTTATAACAATTAACTTGATATTTTTCAAAGGCAATACGACACAAATTTGCTTGCCTCCTTATATACGAATATTTGATGATACAAAGTTGTTTATGCGATTAATTCAATCATGGATATGTGTTTAAACACCTTAAACTAATACATTATGGTTCATATTTGTGCGCGATTTAATTTCTACTTTAAGTAAGTTTATATTGTGTAATTTAAAAGAAAAGCGGATGTAAACCGGACGCAGGGAAGCATGTGAAGAGAAACTTAAGGCGTATTTATTTAATTGTATGAAAAGGATGCCGCGGGTGCGTGTGGCACAGATATTTCTCTCTGACGTCAAATTACGTGTCCCAAGTGCACTTACGTTTACATAATACTTAGCGTTTGGTGTTTTTTTGGATGCAAGCTTAGTGAATCACCAATGACTCGACCTTCTTGTTTTACAAGAAGTTAATTATTCATTAGGGCTAATTTTTAAATAATTTGATAAAAGTTGTTATTAAGATAAAATAAAGCAATTGTGGTTTAAGGTCTTAATTGTTACAAGAACTAATAAAAATATTAATTCACTTTTTTATAGAATAAGGGTGACAAACGAGCACAGAGTTCACGTGATGGTAAATGGATGCTGTAGCATATAGACCTACATTTTGTCCTCAATTAAGAATCAAAACGCAAATGCGTTGTTACCCATGGGACTAAAATAGAATGCCTCGTTTCCAGTAAAAGTGTCTGCGTTTCTCTACACTTGGTTGATATTCTGTTAGAGCATTGTCCTGCCCGGTTGAGTCGACCCATTCGTGCTACAACCATAATATAGCTGCAGCGGGACTCTACCACTCAGAGAAGATTCTCTCATTTACGTGAAAGAATCAATTTTGAAGCAGAAACGAAGTCCTATATAAATGTACTAGCTTCCACAGCCTATCAGTCCTCGCGGCTTGTTACTGATAACCGTAATAAGGCCACTGTCCACCATCCACCATTACCATCATGGTATGTGTAACCAGTGCGAGGGTTTGCCTAGCTCTGCGCTCAGTTAGCCACCGATCTAACGTGGTATGGGCAACTCTAAGACCATGTGATTTCATCGTCATATTCGAGTGAGACTAACGGAAAGCAATTGACTGAGACTTGCCCAACAGTAGGAGATAGTGTAGTGAATTTTCTGTACTTTTTTGACAAGTAAAAAGTAACTGTTAGGAGTATACAACGCATAGAATATAAAAGTTGCGATTATAGTGAGATAAACCAATTGAAAGTAGTATAATGTCATGGAGTTCACGCGAGAAAATTTATCTCACTCTTATCCTGTGAGTGTTGCAAGACGTATATGTAAATATTTAAAAAAAATTGTAACCATCGTTATATAGTTATATAATGTACAGCGATATAATCATTTCGAATTTTAACAGGAGTAAATATCGAGAAAGGACTATAGTAGCATTTTTTAAGTCCACAACAATCAAAAAATGATGTGTGTCCATTTCCCTGTGTCTCAAGATGCGACAGAGGGAAACTGAAACAAGAGATGAACAGCAAAACCTTCCTGAAAACAACTGAAAATAAAATTAAATACTATATACTGAAAATTGAAATAAAATTCAGTTGTCAATCTGCAATGTTCTCTCTATGAGGAAATATATTGGGGAGGCCTCAGTTCAACAATGGACTTTTAATACGCTGATTTGAAAAAAATAACTTTTCCGAATTGATGAACATAAAATTCCGAATGTTTTTTTTTAATAAGCATGTTATACTTTAAAACGAGAAAGTTCAAAACGATTTGTACAAAATTATAGTATACACGCTATACACTGATATTTTACGCTTAAAATACCTTCATATCCCATTTTGATGATTTAATAATTAGCTTGTAATCAAAATCAAAATTTATCGTTCAGGCAAGTCGAGGCCTAATATGAAAGTGTATAATTAGTAGATACATCTTTTTAAAACCATTTCGAGCGTATTGCTCACTAGTAATACTACAGAAAGAACATGCTACTCTTGCTAAAGTACTGTGCCACGGAGCCAATTTGAAAATAAAAAATAACAAAAATAAGGGTGAGCGTTTAGCCTGAGCTTTATCTAGACGCTTACAATTTTGGTTATTTAATTTTTTTTACATTAGAATTTTTCCTGTATCGTGGAGAAAGTTTGCAAACATAAATTGAACAAGGACAAACATCCAGAAACCGGAACAATAACTTGTAGGCCATACCAATGCTTGTTCGGTGCAGGATTCGAATCCACGCCTCCCAGCTCTTTTTTATTATTTTGTCTACAAAAGTAAAGTAAACCCACAAGGTACAAGTTA